CAGAAGGAAAATCCCTCAACATCTGCACAAGTGAAAACTATTTCAGCTGGGAGTGTTTGCTGTTCCTTGCAAAATACACCCAAAACAGCTGAGGAGCGTTTTAAAAAGTAAAGAGAGCTTGCAAGTAGTCCATGAAATGCTTTAACTCTTCACCAGATTCCTGTCTTGTTCCTCTAAAGCCAAGAATGTTATCACTCTGGTTGATGCATTATTCATAGGACTCATTAATTTGCTGTCACACGGCCAAAGTTATTTTTTCACGGTATCTTGTTTCAGTATGAGTGAGAAGTGTAGAACCTAAATTCAAAGCATGTCCCAGGCCTGTGGAAACCTTTCCTAAGGATCTTTTTTGAGTAACCCTGTACAAAACTTGAGGGAGCGGCATTATATATTGAGATATTCTCATTTGACTGCAGTATTTGGATAATATGCGCATTTGTAAGAATGCGTGCTATGAGAGTTTAAACATCCTGAAACACAGATGCCCAGTTTAATGTGCTTTTCCAGAATTGTTCCATGTTTCTCTACTTGTTCTCATAATTTTTATTTTCATGTAGTTTTATGATACTCTAATTCCCCAGAGAGAATGATTATACCCAATGTAGAACAAGCCCTTGCTATATTCAAACCTTGTTATCTGACCACTACTTTCTGATAAGTTGGTTGCAGGGTGTCATTTGCAACTAAGAGCAGGTAGGTTAGTGAATCTTCTACTTGGCATAGGCTTCTTATCAGCAGAGAGATAAGAGTTATAGTGAATATTACAATGCATGTAATCAAAAGGGAACTTAGGGGGTGCTGCTAATAGCTTGCATATTTGCTTCTTTTCAAAAATATCATTACTTTGAGGCTTTCTGATTTGAACTTTGTCTTCTAAATATGGATATTTAGAAGAATATCAATGTCTTATTAACAGAAAAATGTCTGGCAAATCCTTTAGCCAGCATCTTGTCCAATATTGTGTCTTTAGTTTTCACTAGTGACATTTGTTTAGGGTAACTGAGTTGGCATTATTTAATACAAATTACTTCATCCAGGAAAATAACAGCATTCAAGTACTGTGACTTTTTGTTTGATCTTCACTCATGCTTTAATTTCCATATCATTTATATATTATAGGAAGTCAGAGACAGAATTAGTGTCAAGAAAAGCCAGAAAGAAAAAATTGCTCCAACATGCAAGATTCTCCTTGAGTCAGCTCATTCAGCTCATTATACTAAATACATTTGTACAAGGTTCTTTTGTCATCAAAAAAATCATCACATCATTTTATCCTGAAGCTGTGATTTAGTCAAACGAAAGAATGGAAAATACGATGTTCTCTGATGGACTTGTGCACCAAACACTTACTGGTGTCTTTTCTGAAGCTGTTACATTGTCCTATTTTCAGCCCCCTGGACAATGTAGGGGGCTCACAGGCTGCTCTGTACCTCTGCCAGCTGTCCTCTGTGTGGTGATAGCACTCATTCATGCCTCCTCTGCTCCCAAAACAGGAGTGGTGTGTCTCATCAGCTCCCCCTCTGAATGACTCCTGGCTGGACCCTTCAGAAAGGCTGAGGTCAACATTTGTAGTGGATGCAGTTACCCACTTCTTTATGGTAACCCACTTCTTTATGAACAGCCCATGGGCTCTGAAAAGAAATTGTGCTTTAAACAGCAGGTAAGGATTTTTTTTAAAAAAAAAAAGTTTGGGCAGGGGTTTCCATTGAGTATTGCTGTTAATCTCTCTGCTCCTGGTCTTTTTACACAGGTATCATTGAATTAGTATAAAGCCATGTTCATATAAAATTAGGAGACTACTGTATGGAATACATTTTCTCTTTAAACAATGACTTATTATTGCCAGGAATACTTGATGCTGGAGACACCATTTGGTGTGTGTGGCCAAGGATAAAGACCCATAAGGATTATGCATGGTTTAAAAAGAGAGGCTAGAAGTGAGGATGGTATTCAGCTCCAGATTGCAGACACTTGCACCAGGAACGTGAAAGAGAGATTTTTGTGTGAGCTGGGCGCATGAGTACCCATCCTAATCAGGGCAGACTCAGTGTTTCATTTAACTTTTTTATAAATATCTAACCAGCAGAAATGCTCATCAGGCACCTAAAGTCTTTGCACTGGCAGGTATGACACAAGACACAAAGGAGCCCTGCGCTCTCCAGCACATAAATGAACATTGGGAAGGATACCATAGGATAACGGAAGCAGCGGTGTGTGGACAAATGATTAATGATTAGATAAATTAATGAATAACCTAAGTGACTGAAGAATAGTCTTCACTGTAGCTGAGGAGGGTACAAAGCCACCATTTTATCTATATGCCTAATGAGCCATTAAAAAAATGGCTCCAAATTGTTGGACTTGTTATAGGTGAGGCTTTAATTGATAGTTACAGTGATCCAAAATCTGAGCTCATTAGCTAACAGCTGTGTAAGAGTAACCCTTCTGGGCAATGGCAGAGCTCAGACGGTCCCTTCATAAAAGTCCTTAGCTTTTGTTCAGTGATGCCTTGATGGACATCTTGACTTGCTAGGCTGTTCTGGCTTGTGTAGGAATAAGCCTATGTAGTTGTAAGGTTTCTTTGGGCTCAGTAAGTTACAGAGTTGTCTTTGGTGCCTTTTGTAAATGCCCTGGGTGTAGACTCCCTTCAGAGAAGCAAGCTCCAGGGATGTAATTACATCCTCCATGTCCATGGACACACAAGAGACCCTTCCCAGAGCACAATACCTGAAGGCACTCTGTTGCAAAGTTGGTTTTCTCAGAAACTCTGAGTACTAGAGGAATCTTTTGTACTGGCAAGGTTTTCATTTCCAGCTGTGCAAGAAACTCATGGATCTAGGTAAAACAGCAAAACATCTGAAATTTAACCCTTGCGCTGTGTTCTTTGGACTTAGGCCAGATGCTTCAAGATGTCTGTAATTCCTTTTACACATCTTCTATACATCCCATTTTCCTCTTCCCTGAGTATTGCCCTGTATATAAAATTAAATTCCTTGTCAGCTGAAACTGGTGAATTGGCTTCTGTGAGATTTTGTTCAGACACCTCTAACCTTTTTAAAGAGGCATCTGAAAGGCTTCTTACCTGTTGGATCCCAAAGTATATTACTACCTAATTTTTCAGAGGTCTAAGCCTCCGTGCCATTATCTCCTGAACTGTTCATTGCCTATCTTGCTTAGTGTGACAGTGACATTCTGGTATTTGCATTGCTTAGTCCCAGGTTCAGAGAGTAAATGAAAAAGCCAGCAGACTCACAAGGAGAAGGCACAGAGAAGGCACCAGGTACAATTCAGCCTTTTCCCTGGTCCTAATCTATATATGCCCTTTGAAGAATACTCTGTTTTATCTCCAGTTTAAAGAAGCTTCCAGTATTACACTCATTTCATCAAAGCAATAGTGATTTGCAGTAGATGACTGGCCTAGTTATGTTCAGATTTTTAGAAACAGCCCAGCAGACAAGTGCAGTGAATATAAAGGATTATCAAATAAACCCTGTATTTGGTTTATTCTATTACATATCTCACTGGTGTCAAAAATGCTTGTGTGGTTCTCTTTGAGGGAATAATTCTTCCATTTCAATTTTGGTTTCTTCATCCTACCTGCTGGGTTATTAATTTATTTTTTTTTTTCCCATAGAATTACCTTGCAGCGAAAGACCATAACCTCTTGGGTGAATGGGTAGAAACTGCAATCTGGCCATTTTCAAGGGGAGATCAAATTACACAGTTTGCTGTATAAAGCACAAACAAATTTTAGTCTGGTTGGCGCTTATCTATTTTTGCAAGTACATCACTTTGGAAAGAGACTTGCTCAGCTAATCTATGGCTGTCATGGAAATGTAATTTTTCCTTCCTCTGAACCAATAACAGGCACCTGGCAAGCTTGCTTGTGCACCCATGCATTCAAGTCTAGCAGTTTCCATGGAAACCCATCAAACTGTCGCACCAGTTTTCTAACATGCTGCCACTTCGCAAACACGGGACAAGTTGTTTTGCACAAAATTCCTCTATAATGCTCTTCTGTTTTCTCTCTGGAGACAATTCAGCAAGGCTAAATGTTTATATGTTTAGATGGCAAGAATTGCTTTTTATTTTATTGCAATTTTGTTCATAAATAATAAATAAATAAATAATATATATAATTTATATATAATTTATATATATATTATTTATATATTATTTATATGCATAAATAATTGCTATTGTATTGCAGGTAAACCAGCTCATTTATGTGAGAACACTCAGGCTAAGGCTTTCAGAAACTCACTTAAAAATATATTTTAGGCTATTTTAGGTGAGAAAAAGGAAAAGTTTCTTTTAAAATGTAAGTATATTTTTACTTATATTTCATTAATATGCCACCTATGTCTCTGGTGCCCTACTGGGAAGATATTTGAATTCCTAACTCAATAAACCAGACACAGCTGCTTCTTTTGTGAGACTTTCACATGTTAGCCATGCTAACTTTCAAGTTAGTTTGATAAATTTGTTGAAGGAGTTTAAGAACACGAACACTGTGACAACAGGAGATGGGAGGCAGAGTTATGAGAGGTCTTGTTCACTCTATGACTTAAGGCCCATCTAGTGACTAAAAAAATCCACAGCTTCTTTGGCTATGAATAATTCAGATTTCAAGCTGTATCCTAACATAGCCAACAAACAAGTTTTCCGAGGAGCTTCAGAATCTCAGAGGTACTGACGTGTCTGGTACTCTCTCATCTCTTTCCAAACATGTAGGTTTCAGATATGGTCCAACACACATATTCCTAACAGGTTTTCTGTTTGAGTAAAACTTGTGGCATGTGCCCTCCCACCATGCAACTCAACATCTATTTATTATTCAGCCGGTAAAAAGCAAATAAATATTCTGGCATGGCCATTTTTTGACTCATGAACTACTCATTTAAAAAAATTATTCCTGAATCTTAGAAGTTACCAGCACCTATAACGAGGAATATGTTCTGAGAATTTTTTAAAATATCAAATATTTTTCTGCATTTGTTTCTTCCCTATGCAGTCCTGTTTCACTCACATCAGCAGTTGGCCCTCTGTCTAAACTGGAGAAGCATCAAACATGATGATTTCATCCTGTGGTACAGCAAAAAATAGTTAATGGTACGTGTGAGCTGAAGCTCAAAGAAGGAGTTCAAAACCAGGACAATTAGTGGCAGGAGCCATAGAACTAATGCACAGCAAAATTTGCAAGAAGGCCTTATCCACTGAAATTTTATGATAGAGATCAGATGAAGTTGGTTGCTGAAGGGGCATAAACTGGATAAATGCCTATTTATCAAGAAATATCTTTCATCTGAGGAAATGGAATAGTGGATACCGTAAAAGATTGAATACACTTAATATTGGCTTGCTTAATGGAAAACTGCCTACGCTATTAGCTTTAATTTAATGCTAATTTGCCCATTTAATAACAATTGATATTAAACAGTTTCCTATTTAATGTTAATTGAAAATCACTGGTCTCTTGTTCCAGACAATATTTAATGTCGCTTTTTTCCACTAGTGAAAAAAAATGCATTTTTATTGTGGCCTGAAAACTTTCCAGGAAATATAAAGTACAGAAGAAGCATAGATCAGTCAGTAGAACTGTACACTTTAATTTAATTGTACTATTATTTTTAAAATGACCATCAAAGCCCTAGAAACATAATTAAATGTCGCAAACAATGAAGGATACACTGAGATGAAACTGCAATTGCTGCAAACTGAGTCATACTGTGTTTACTTCCTTTACTTTTTCCCTCATTTTTTCTTTCTGGTTGAGCATGGGCATAAAATGGTTGTGGTAAGGAAAGGAATTCTGGTTTGACTGACACCTTTTCTGGATTAAATCATGTACTCACCTTCTGACTTTCCAGGGCAGCTGCCACTGGCCTGCCAACAAAAACTGGTGGAATAACACCTCAAATTCACATTCACTATTTTGCTATCTCTATGAATATACACTGAAAAGATGCATTATGGATTCCAGACTGTCTGTGAACTCTAAAAAGATTTTCAGCAGCCTACAGCCTATCCCTATAGGTATCTACGAGCTTTTTTTTAGATGGAGAATGTAACTCTTTTTGAAAATTATATTCTATTTCTGCTGCAGGTGTGTTTGTGTCACATGGACCACATGTGTAGACTGTTTATAAAATATCTGTGTCGATTCCCTCATGCATGCACATGCCCAGAGTAAAAGGAATATGTAACACCTGAGGCTGGGATCAAAAGATGAAGTATTTTCACATGCTATGGTAAGTACATTTGCATTATAATTTATAAGTGGTCTGTCAGTCTAGCTGTCTAATCTGCTACTGATGTCAGGGTCTTTGTACCTACCTCAGTCCTGCTGTATTTCTTTGCTATCATTTTCTTTTCCAGGATCTGACTCTAGTTTGACACAAGTAATCAGAGTTATGTTTTCTGTGCGTTATCTTACTGGTTTATTTCAGAAAGTACAATGAGCCAATTATAGTATTGCCTGTTTCCTACATGCTGGGGAAAAGCTCTAATTGCTTTCTGTCAGTTGACCCAGGCATGGCTATTTCCTATGTAATTTCTTTTCTCCAGCAGAATAATCTCCCACTGAGAATTCTCCCTCCTTACTTTAGAAATATGTATTTTGGTGGGTTATAATTAATAACAGTGATGTTATTAATCTCCACAGCATTTTCTAACCTTACAAACAAACAAACAAACAAAAAATAAAAAGAGAAAAACCCCCTGTAATTTAACATGTTAACGAATGAAATTATGGCCCACTCCTTCCCTGAGGGGAAATAGGTTTCCTGTATGATTCTCAATTCTTTCCCACAAGGAATAGAGCCTGTAAGAGCCTTTTAAAAGCAAAGCTTATTGCAGAGGAGTGGGAAGCAATACAGATTACTTTACTGTGTGCCTCATTGCTCTTGCATGTAGAAAGTGAAGAATGAATTCAGAGAAATGCTAATGGTAATAGGTCCATTTTGGACAGAAGCTGGCAGCATCACTGGCAGATCCCCCTGTTTTCTGATTCTGATTTGGGCTGACGTGCAAACATCCCTTCATCTGGATCAGCGTGAGGCATTGAGCACATCGAGCTGTTGCTCTCCCACTGCTTGCATTGATGATTCATCTTCTGCAGTAAAATTTGACAAGCAGAAAATTTTGAAAAGGTCAAGTCTGGGGTCTCCTGAGATTATTTTTGACCTTAGTTTTGACAGCAAATGAAGGAAATCAGTAGCTGTGTGCATTTTGCAAGTCCATTAAGCAAGTGAGGCCTGGCAAGTTGCTGTTATTAGTAGGATTAGTGATAGCAACCTTTCCATAGCTAATGGAAGCCAGAGCTGACATTAGAGTCTGGCAAATACAGAAGGGCTTGTGCCACTGCAGGGACAAAAGAAACACACACAGCAATTGATTGTGGACACAAAGGGGCTTTCCAAACTTTAAATGCCACTGCTTTGAAACCATGAGACCATATCCTGGTAGGATCTTTGATCTCTGAGATATCAGCATTTCAGAAGGAGGCACTAAGGCTTTAAAGAGGCTTGTTGTATGTTCCTCTTCATGGTGACCTGAAATGTCTGAATTGTTGGTCTGACAGCTGTGGTGTCTTATCCTGCTGGAACAGGAAAGTAATCCTCACTTCAAACATGACTTTGCAGGGTCAGATTGGAAGGTTTAAGGGAATATCCCATACCAATCTTTGCCATCTCCAAAGGCAACAGTAGAGAAACAAATACTCCTCCAGGGAGTAAATCTGTGGGCTCACTCACTTGTACCAGCAATAAATTACAGCTGTGGTACTCCTACTAACACTAACAAGTGTGGTCTAAGAGGAGTCAGTCTCAGTGATGAAGTTACTTGTACAGTAAATATGTCAGAATCCATTTTCCACGTGCACCAGGAGAAGAGAGTCCAGTTAATTGAACCTTAGGTAAAATGTAAAAACTGTGTGTTAGGGAATGATCATGCCTGGGAGACTAACCATAGCTTAATTAAATTTATAGATGTGTCTCCTTTAGCCTTTACAGGATAGTTACAGAAAGAAAAGGAGGGATGAATGTAGCAGGAATACTGTGAACTTGATGAAGGAGCCCTCCTTCTGAGGGCAAGGGGGAAGTTCAACAGAGAATTTATGAAGTGGCTTTTGACAACTTAGAAACACTAATGTATACTTTGGCCAGATTAATATAAACAATATTTATTCATGTAACCATACAGATTTTTAATAGTGGCTTGATTTACTTTCATAACTTTTTTTGGTTTTACTAAATCTTGCTTTCAGGAAATAGAGGAGGGTCCACTTTAAGATCATTCCTTGCTTTCAGGGTTTGATTTAGTCCATTTAGAAAGGAAGATAGATCCTTTGCAATGAAAAAGAGAATGATGCAGGAAAAAACAGAGCTGGATCAAGAGCTTATACAGGCCCATAAGCTGGTCCACTTTTTTTTGCCAGAGACCTTCTAGCCACATTCCCTTGCTGTCAGCTGTTCTGCCTGTGTGTCCCAGCTCTACCCACTCACCTGATCAGTCAGCAGCTCTGGTTCCTCCTGTCTGCAAACCTGGCTCCAGCACAGCTCTCCCAGGACAGGGAAATACCTCATCTACCTCTTGGCTCTTCAGCCCAGTTCTGTGGCTATCTAGCATCAATGCATTTCCTTGCTGCTGCAATAGTAGCAAAAAGTAGTGAGGGAAGACAAGAAACTTCAGCCAAAGAGAACAGATTTCACTTCCAAAAGGAAAAAAAAAAAAGGTGTTTGAAAAAAGTAATCTCAAGGCAATTCAGAAAGTGTTGGAATTGCAGGCAATATGGTGCCATTTTGTTCCCTCCTCAATTTCTGTTTTGGCTGTACAGTATGTCAGTTTATTTTTTATTTATAATTATTTTAAAACTCACATCCAGCCAAGCTAAATGAGTTCATGCTTAGAAACAGGCTATCATTTATTATGAATTGTCTTTTGTGCAATGTAAGCTGCCCCAGCTTCAGGCATTTGTGCTTTTTAGCACTTGTGGCCCACAGAGCATTTTGTGCTTTTTAGCACCTTGTGGCCCACAGAGCATAGTGCTAAACCTTTTATATCTTCAAAGTCTTATCTTTGTTCTACACTACCATAAAATCCTCCAGACTGAGTCAATATCAAATGTGGCCATGATAGGAGGGAGGGAGGCAGGAAGGCAGGAAGGCAGGCAGGAAGGAAGGAAGGCAGGAAGGCAGGCAGGAAGGCAGGCAGGAAGGAAGGCAGGAAGGAAGGCAGGAAGGCAGGAAGGAAGGCAGGAAGGAAGGAAGGAAGGCAGGAAGGCAGGAAGGAAGGAAGGAAGGAAGGAAGGAACTTACTTTCATGGTAGCAAGAGATCTGATGGAAAGAAAAGAACTAATTTAGGGAAGAAAAATAAAAAAGAAAACAATAAAAGAATCAGTCTCTTAGGAAGTGAAGTAAAACTTGAGTCTTGATTTCTAGAGTGTCTGTTTTATCCTTTGGAGGATTTCTTTCTCTAAGGGTGATCTACCTGTACAAGGAACTCTGACAGAATACCTAAGGACTATGGGAGTGTTTAAGAGGATGACTCAGAAAACAGGACATGATTTGAGCAGTGCTGGGTTTCAACACAGGTTGCATCTTGAGATGCTAATTAAGTCCACTTGGAAATATTGTCAAGAATATACAGTAATTTCTGTTAGAACCATGCCTTTAACGTGATCTTTGGTGAATCCTTCTAGTGCACAAATTTTGGAGTTAACTGGGGCTATTTGTAGTCACCTGTAGCCACCACTTTTCCATTTGCTGGCATTTTCACTTGCTTTACATAAAGGACAGCAGTGGCCAAATAAACCTGTGAGATTTCTGTCTGACTTGTGGGCATGTGGATATGCACTGTGCCATGAAGAGCTATGAAAATTATGTCAGTGATGCTAAAATGTTGTAAGCACATGGCGTAGCATTGTAGCTCTAAGGGTTTAAAGCAATACAGCATCTGCTGGATGATTTCATTGTCACTAACAACTGTCAATGACAGTGGGAGGTGACAGAGGAAAACCATCAGTCTGATTTACACTGAATTCTACTTGCAAATGTTCCTATCTGTAAGGTTTCCAAACAATTATTAGTTATTTTCATTAGAGATAACGATATTTTCTCTTCTGTGAATAACAGCACAGCGACTGCATCTTGTCTGCAGCCCTTGCTCTGACAAAGTTTTAGAGAAGCCTCAGATGTCATTTTGCTTAAATTAATTGAATTGCTCTGGATCTTAAATGATGTTAGCCACCTGGTCTCCCCAGGTGAAAAATTTGCAGCACTCAGTTACTCTTGAGCTGGAGATACTTTCTCACAAGATCCTTTACTGAACCAAAGCTCAGCAACCATCAGCTCTATCTGTTTGAAATAATATGTTGTCAATACCCTTGGGTTGGAATCACTGTTATGGGTCAATTTTCTAATATAAGAAGCTATTGGGAGAGCTAAGCCTGTTTAGTGCAACTCTTTTGCAAAAGCTATTTAGTGCTGCCACAGAGGAGCTGTATTTTATTTATGTTAAATTTTTGCAAAAACTTCATTTTTCACACCTGTTTTTATGACATGCCTCCTTTAAAGAGGCTTTGGAAGACATAAGCATTAAATAGGAAGAAAAATAACTTGCAGTGGAAAAAAAATGGGTTTTTTTTCCCTTGGTATGGAAAATAAGAGAAAAAAATTGTCTTTTGTAAAATCTGAAATAGATAAGTGCATGCAGTAGTTGCTGAATGCCATTTTCAGTCTACAAAATTATTGATATTGACTGCATTTAATGTACTTGTCCAGAGTATGTGGCAGGAGATATACAAATATGCTTATGAAATAGATGGCTAGGGCTGCTATTGTGTTGTTTCATTGACTTATCATAGACATAAGGAGTCCACAAATGTGTGTCTGACAGACAGCAGGATCAAGAGCCACACTGGAAATTGAAATCTTAGCTCTTTTTTAATCATAAGTCATAAACCAATTTATCTCATATTGACCTTATGGATATTACAATTAATTTGGATCTTTCCTTCTCTGAAGCCATCCTCTCTTTTGACTGCATCTGAGCTTCTAGTGAAGAAAAATTGCACTGAGCCTGTGTAATTGAGCATCCTTAGCAAGATGTTATCTTGACATCAAATGCAGTGTCAAACAAGTATAGGTGCCTTATTGCAAGAAGAAGAAGAAGAAGACGAAGACGAAGACGAAGACGAAGACGAAGAAGAAGAAGAAGAAGAAGAAGAAGAAACAAAAGAAAAGAATCAGAAGCAGAAGAAAAATAAGCAGAACAAGAAAATTAAGAAGCAGAAGAAACAGAAACAGAAGAAGCAGAAGCAGAAGAAGCAGAAGGAGAAGAAGGAGAAGGAGAAGAAGCAGAAGCAGAAGCAGAAGGAGAAGAGGAAGAAGTAGGAGAAGAAGAAGCAGAAGAAGCAGAAGAAGCAGAAGCAGAGGAAGAAGGAGAAGAAGAAGAAGGAGAACAAGAACAAGAACGAGAACGAGAACGAGAACGAGAACGAGAACGAGAACAAGAACAAGAACAAGAACAAGAACAAGAACAAAACAAGAACAAGAACAAGAACAAGAACAAGAACAAGAACAAGAACAAGAACAAGGAGCGACTTTTACACAGGAAGCCTGTCTGGTGAGGTAAACATTCCCATCACTCCAGGTTCCTTCAGGGGAGTGCTAGCCAGCACACAATGTGTTAATATCAGTTATTATTCCAGGGAAGCAATGTGTTCGATTCTGCAAAAAGAATATTTTTTTTTTCCTGAGCTTGAAGCCATCTAGAAACCTGAACCTTTCAAATGGCATTTCTGAAAGACAATTCCTAAAATGTGAAGCACATTTTAAACCATTAATGTAGTTAGGCATGGAAGAATTTCTACTGAATTGTGATGGATTCTCCATCCTTGAAAACTATGGCATTAAAAATTATCATTCTTCCACAGAGGACATGCTTGCCCAAACTGAGATAATTCAGTGCTGAAAATGCTGTGATCTGTGTTGTACAATTGGCCAGACTTGACTGTCGCTGTGGCATTCTGGGATTATTTTTGGAGGCATCTGTAAGGCACTGCCTACAGAAGAATCAGCTGCTCATTTTTGTTGAAAAATTTTTATTGATAACTGGCTTTAACTGTTTTTTTCTCAGTGTGCAGCAAACCCAAGTTATAATTACTATAATTGTGGGGGGGAAGCATAGAAATGTTGGTCTTCATTCCTTCCTGCAGATGTTGAGATGCAAGTCAGAGGAGTGGATGAGAGAGACAGAAATGTGTAGGCAAGGGCTATCCCAGTCCGTTAGGTGTGATGTTGTGTGATGATGCTCTCTGTGCTGGAAGCCTTGGCAGCTCCATCTGTCAGTCACAGCCACAAACAACAGCAGCACACACATCTTGTTTTAAGAGAGATGAGAGAATACTTTTTGCTGCTGTTCCAACTTTTCAGGGTGTTTGTTTCTCTGTTGTCCAGAAAAAGCAACTGTTGTAGGAAGCAGAACAAGGACAAGGAAAGGAAGTTCAGTGTTTAGCAGGTTGAATTTCTGTTCCTGATGTTGGCAACAAACTGAAATAGTGCAAAATCCTTGTTGTTGGTCCTGCTCCTCACAAGCTACAGTTTGGGGAGAAGAGTTATTATCCTGCAATCTTTTCTCTGCCCTGTCTGCGAGCAAAGACACACACAGCCCTTTTCATAGAATCAGTCTGAGTTGGAAGGGACCCACAAGGACCATTGAGTCCAACCCTTGGCTCTTCACTGGGCAACCCCAGCTCCACACTTTTGCTGATATATGAAAGTTTATGTAGACTGTAGAGAATTTTCTGCTTTTAAGTTACTGCAAAGTGTACCCAGGACGGTCTAAAACTTGAATTTTCATATTGGAGATGAAATAGGTCCATGAAGTTCCTTTGTCCTTCCCTGTGAAAGAACATCAATACCTCAAAATTTTCTATACCTCAAAATTTTGCCTGGGCTTCTTCTCTTGAATGCTTGTAGTATTTTTGTTAGAGGAACGTTTGCAATGAAGGCATAGCTTCTTTGTTAATGTTGATTTATAGTCTCTTACGACCAGAGCAATTAAACTGTTGCTGTTTAAGGTGAATATATATCTGGCAGGAATTTATTTATGCATATTCAGCAAGAGCTTGAGGATGAACCCAGTGGAAAAGTAAATACTGTTATGTTCTCAGTGTTCTCAAATCTCAAAGTGAAAAATGCTATGACTAAACTCATTGTTATGCTGGTTTATATAATGTCTCCTTTAGTGGAAAGAAAGCATGACTTATTCACATTCATTATTTTGCCCCCCTGCCCAGATATCCTTTCTTGGGAAATGGAAAATTTGCTTTTTCAATAAATAATTGCAGAATTTCTGTTTTGTTTGTTTTTCAAATTTTCAGTGTTGTGGATAAAAGCAAAAATTCCCCACCAGTATTTCCATCTCTGAGGTGCTGCACTGATAAATTAATGGCTACATATATTTATATGCAAAAAAAGCATAGATATATATATGCTTTTTTTCCTCACACACCTACAACTCCTTTCTCCCCAACAATGGTGAATAATTTGAATTGCCAAGGAATTCAAAATAATATTTTTTAGAGTCTGTTGAACAAACATCTTTTTCAACTATTTGAACTAGACTTTATCTAAAGAACTGAAGAAATAATACAAGAAACTGTGAGAGAGAGAAAAAAATCTAGCTATCCATCATCTATATCAGTCTAGCTTTTGTTGAAACTCTTCTAATTTGGATTAATCTCTGCAATGACTTCAAATTTCTGATTTCACAAATTCTCTTAATTACTGTGCTCCCTGATTGTGATCTCTTACAAGGTGTCAGGGCATGTCATTTCACTGAGAGAGCACGTGACAGAGTTAGGGGGATATGTCATAACATCCTAAATGCTGTCTGTCTCTCTGTCTTTAGAAATCCCCTCCTGAAACAACTACACAGCAGCACTGGTGAGGAAAGGCTGTGACAAGTCAAAGATGCTCCTGAAATGTCATCCTTGTTGTATTCTGATGGAGTGGTACCCACTGATCCTTAGATTCTGCACTGAGAAAAAAATCTTATCTAAATTGATGGGAAATTGAGTTAATTTAGAGGTCATGCAAAGAGACCCTGAAGGTAAAGATTGATTTCAGCCACACTATATCTTTTTATCTGATAATATTTAAATAATTAGACCTTGTTATTTCCTGCATATCTCAAAGAAGTTGAGCACAGCTCTAGTGCAAGGCAGGAGTGAACACAGTCCATTTGTCAAAGTGTCACTGACCTATTTTATAATGACCTGTATAGTAGCCACAAGTTCCAGATTTATTTCTCTGGTGGGACAGTGAAAACAGTTTTATTGCAGATAAATTAACACTGGAAACAAGCTCTGCCTTTCTCTTTGCAGCATTCCTATGGGCAGCAACCCAGACAGGGCCGTGGGAGTCTTTGAAGGGAAGTTTTAATGCACAATAAATAAACATTCATAAATTATCAGATGCCACCAGACAGCCTTCTGGAAATGTAAGCCACAAAAAAGAGACCCACACTCAAACCCTCACCCAGGGATCAGCCTGTGTCCACATATAGGCACACACACACACAGAATATATGCACGTGTGCTCCCACATTATGTAAGAGCAAGGAAAGGTTTTGCTTTTTCACTGTAACCATGAATGTATAAAATCTTATTATTTTCTCACCTTCAGAATTTAATATCCACACAGGGAGGAGCAATTAGGCAAGTGCTAGACTTTATCATGTCAGTGTTATTCAGGGCAACCTGTTAACATTTAGAGAGGATTTAAAAGGGGGTTGTAGCTTTGTATGGACTTGGAAATATCCTAAGGAGAGAGGGAAAGTCAGGAAGAGCTTAGAGAGCCCTTTCCCAGTAGGTTAGTGTAATTTATGATCCCCAGAAATACAGAAGAAAGGTGTGAATGAGCTGGGACGTTTGCAAGCCTTTCATTTCTCCTGTGGTATGTGCCATCCCCAAGACAAGTGTACCTGTAATTATCTCACTTGCTTTAGCATCAGGGTTGTTCATCAGGAAAACTGTGTTTCCCATCCTTCCTGCGTGTAGTGGAAATAAGATACTCCTACTGGCTTTGTGACATTTAGCACACTCAATTTAAAAGAGATGTTTTATTTTCTTTTCAAGTGCCTACTCTGTTAGCTTCATGCTTTTGAGACTATCCACAGAGTAACAGCATGATGATTGTTTTCTAAAATCCTCTTGAAGTTTCATTAGATTTTGTTGGATCTTGTAATAAGCTAGGAGAAGTCTTTGAGACCCATGAGTATAAGTGCATTTATTTTGCTGAACTTTATTTTCCTTTCCTCTGTTGCCTAGGGCTAATATTTATTTTGTGTGACACTTTGTAAATGCATTAAAAGCCTTTGGACATACATAGAGGGAGGTGACTGCATTTAATCAGTGACTGACTGCATGCAAAGAACAGTATTTGATTTCTCCCTCATACCACCAGTAAAGGAAAAAAAGAAAGGTAGGGAAGAAGGTGGTGGTGGTTTCAATCTTCCTCATTAAAACCTGGAAAGGAATTATTGTCTGCATCAAGCCTCAGTGTTGACACAGTGGATGTGCTGTAGCATGAGCAGCCCAGGCCCAGTCGAGCCTTTCTGTCAGTCTCTGTCTTGTTCTGGGGCAGAAAATGGAGAGGTCTGGATGGAGGGATTGTGCAGGGCAGCCTGAGCAGCTCACTGGTGTTTGGCCTCAGAAAGCCACCTGCTCACAGTGTTTTCCTATGACATACCTGTGTTTCCCACGGAAAGCTGTTCACATTTATAATCTCAGTTTATCAGTTTCCCTCTCGCAGGTGTGGAGAGAAAATGCAAGGCAGGGCAGAATCAGACACCATGACTGAGACCAACAACATAAAATTAAACCATTGAATCCAAGTTTGAATGCCTCTATATTCCATTGCAGCTAGTAAGCTTGAAAAAATATAGAAAAAAATATAAATTTATTACAGTAGCTTCTATGTTTCTGTTTGGGTTTCATGATCAAAACAGAGTTGAGAACGTAGGGACAGAATCAAAGACCTTTTCTGCTTCTCACACTGCTGCCAATGAGGAGGCACAAGAAGGTGGGAAGGATCACACCTGATCATATTCCATGCCATATGATGTTGTGTTCAGAAATTAAAGCCAGGGAAAGAAATGGGGACGAGGTATTCAGGGTGCTTGTCTTCCCTAAGTACTTAGGTGTGAAGGAGCCCTGCTTCCCTAGACATGGTTAAACACCTGCCTGCACATGGGAATTAGTGGATAAAATCCTTAATTTGCTTTGCTTAGGTGTGGAACTTTTGCTTTACCAAGTGAACTGTCTTTACCTCAGCCAACATTTTTACTTCTCTAATTTTTTCCCTATCCCACTTGGGGTGTGGAGCTGAACTATGCACGAGGGTTAGCAGGCAGGAGTCCTTCATGGTGCCCTAGTGTAGGGCAGGACCCACAGTCCATGTACCCCTGCCAGGAAAATGTGTCTTTTTGGGCTTAACTTTTCTGTTTTGAAGCAGAATTTGTGTACAGCAGTTCAAAAAGGACAGAAAAAGTCCCTTTTAATACATGGCATAATTACATTAGATAATATAGGCTTAGGTGCAAGGTCAGTCTAAAACAGAGCTAAGAAACTTCTGTTTTTCCAGAGAATGAGTCCTTGTTCAGTGTGCTGGAGGAAACTGAAAGCAGAAGGCTTCTCTGCCCTTACACTGAATTAACTGGGGATCTCAGCCACGACAATGTAAATGCATGTTCTTTTCAGGGAGGTAACATGTGTGCCTTGGTGATTCACTATCAGTTCATTAATCAAGAAAGAGCTGACTTCTTGTGCAAAACTGAGCTGCTAAAATTTTCATGATTGCTCAATGGAAGGGACCAGAGAAAAGCCAGCCAAGGCCTGTGGGCTATTTGGAATTTGAATATGACTAATTTTTCATTCACAATTAATGCAGCGATGCACTCTGCATGAAGAGCAAAATCACATGTTGTCCCTGAAATAGTTTTTAGATGACTTGGGGGCACACAGTTTTGTTCTTTGATTGTGTAAACTTAGGACAATAAAAGCTCCAAGGGATCCTAGAGGGAATATGGCTTGGATACTTTGTGCTAACTAATTCCAAGTAAAAGGTCATAGCTGCTGATTAGAAGCATTCACTAAGTTAGCAAGTTGTTTTAAAAAGTTTGTGCTATTTCTTTTTGTGTTTTTCTTTTGCTTAAAAATTCAAAGCCTCACTAAAGCAGATTAGAGAACATTATTTTAATGATTTGTAAATACATAGGAATAAGTCTCATTTGAGATAGATCTTCCAGAACAGAGTAATTTTCTTTTATGGGTTGTTTGTGTTTGTTTGGCTTTTTTCCTTGCAGGATACTGAAGATTTGCCAAGATGGTACATCAGACTGAATGGACTTCTGGTCAAAGAGAATGTTTTCATTAGTAAAGCTATCCATCAATACTAAGCCCTCTTGCAGGTCCAAGTGTAAGACCTTCTATAGGACAGTGTAGGAAATAATATGTGGAAATCATTATGGATGGAAGATAAAAATGGTGATAGTAATTTTGCATGAATGGGAAAAAATAGTGGCCACTTATTCCAGAATAACTTACTGTATTAGGAAGTTTGATAACTGGGACACTTTATGGACAAAGGTCAGAAGAGTTTAATCTGTTCAAAAAGCAGCTGATCAAAATTTTATATCTTGCTTCAATTAAGACAAAAAAGTACTCTGATATTTTGCCACCTTAAGTAAGGTGTTTATTGATCTAAGTTTATGCAAATAATAAAAATAAAATAAAGACCACCATGGAGAAGATGCTGCCCTTCTATTAATCCCATGCTTGTTCAGCAGAGGAACAGATTCTTGTCTTTTGATACCTAAAATATACCTCTGTGACTAGCTCAAACATTTAAATTCCTTGGGTAAGGTTTCTGCCTTAGTAAATTTAATTCTTTAGAAATAATTCTTTAGAAATAATCTTTACATTTTCCTTGTATAATCTTTCATATCACATGCACTTTTCAATGTAATTGTTGGCTGCATACCCTTTATATCTCTGTGAGACAGGATATGTATGAGATATTATTTACTTATTTAGTCATTGCATTGCAGTTTCAAACGAAAAAAATTCTTTTTATCTCTTACAGTTTCTTGGGGTGGGTTACTTGAACTCTCTCAGTTCTCAGCTAATGTCAACATGGGGGAGAAACAGAACCTGTCTGGTTCATGTTCTTTTTTACTCAAAACTTAATTGCTGTGTGTGCAAGGAATGTGCAGCACTGCCAAATGGATAACCCCATGGAGACTGACATTATAGCCTGCTGTGGGGTGCTTGTGCCTGGGATAAAGCAAATTCCAGAGCAGCAGGGACCTGAACATCTTTGAGCACAATCTGTCTGATTTTACCAAGTATCTCGCAGAGTTCTGGCCTTTAATCCAATGTAGAATGAGACAAAGGTATTTCCTAAAAATGTAATTCCTGTTTGATATTAATCTAGTCCCACATATTCTACGGATCAGGAGAGCATTGCTGGAGGAAATGAACTACCTCAAGGCTGGATTCCACCCCCTCCTTAGCTCAGTCTGCCCGATAATTTATGTAGTGCTTAGAAAGAGCAGCCAGGCATTACTTTAAATGGAGGGAGATCTGTACTTGTATTCCTACTTTAAATCCATCACATTTCTCCCTAAGCCACCTCCTGTTTTCTGTGAAAGCTTGGAACAAGCTGTCTGAAGTAAACAGGGGCTCAGTGCTTCAGCTCAGCTGCTCTCCACAGAAACCATAACCACTGCAGGCTGCTGAGCCAGAAGGTGCATGTGAGTGTTTCCCCTGCTCCACTGCCACCTCACCTTTCAAAATGTGGCCCCTATTTTACCCATGGTTTGTATTCAGCCTGACTCATGCACTGCTCACTTTCTGCAGCACCCCCAATACTAGTTGTGGGGCTTGTTTGTAAAGGAGTCTAAAAGCAGTACCTCAGTAAAAAAAATGGGAAAAAAATACTTCTCATTTTACATTTCTATCTGTTTAAGGAGTTGAAAAATGAGGAAAGAAAGGGATGTTAAACTTGAGTGGTACACAGTTTGCTTTTCCCCAGAAC